TAGGGACGGCTAGCGCAGATAGCCCTCGTGTAGCTTTGCGCGAAATTCAAAACAAACAAACAATAAAATTCACGATACCTAAAAGATAGTCTTGAGTAGACAATACACACGGCTAAAAAAACAAACTTGTGTACTTCGAGTATCGTGAATTTAATGAAACATATCGTGATTTGATGGGTAAACGGTAGCGTCTGGTGGTTAGGAAACATCGAGGTTACTCTGTAATACGTTATAGACCATCCATCCGTGACACAATGGCAGAAAAATGTAACGTAACATTGTGTGACTGTGTGATGGGTGAACCTAACTACTTCGTGTGTTTGATCAGTCTGTATTACTTGTTCTTATGTGATGTCTGTGTCATTTACACAAGATTCTTACATTGTACAGAACTCATTACTGAACCAAAGCGACAAAATACTAATGAAAGTTTTTCCTCAGTGCAGGATGTTTTTCAGATGGATTTCACCACTATTGGACCATTTCAACAGTTTCGAGGTTGATAAATCTTATATTATAACTATGGACCTAATTTCGTAAGACTATTACAGCATATTTAAAAAACTCATGACTTTTTTTAACACAGCTTGGTACACCTTCGGAATACTCACTTAAGAAATAGACGATATTTCTGTTTGTTTGTTTGTTTGTTATGGATTTCGCGCAAAGCTACACGATAGATATCTGCGGTAGCCGTTCCTAATTTAGCAGTGCAAGACTAGAGAGAAGGCAGCTAGTTATCACCACCCACCGCCAACTCTTGGGCTACTCTTTTACTAACGAATAGAGGAATTGACCGTCACATTATAATGCTCCCATGGCTGAAAGGGCGAGCACGTTTGGTGTGACGGGAATTCAAACCCTCGACCCTCAGATTGCGAGTCGAGCGCCCTAATCACCTGGCCATTCCGGGCCGACGATATTTCTCTTTACCTCTTAGAGAATTCATCTGCTCTTTATCTACCTTGAATCATTATTAGTTAACTAGTAAATGTTCAATACAGTTTATAGTCTTGATGACAGCTGCATTCTTGAAGTATGCTCCCCAAGTGGCACTTTCTGTGAGAATCTGGTTATACATTCTTCTCCTAAGCAAGATAATAAAGTAAGATAAAAATTACATAATTTGTTTTTCAACAGTGCAATTCTTTTTACAGCAACATAATTAATCTATGTTCTATATAAATTATTGAAAACTGAAGGGGCATTCAGTAGAGCGCTTACTTCCGCTACGCAGCGTTGATCATATTCGGCTCTCAAAAAATAAGAAAATGTGTCAGTATGTCCGTCGTTATCAACAGACACGGACCATTTTCGGCACAACAATGAGAAATAATAGTCTACATGTGTCCAGCAAGTTTCATGAAAATCCAATCATTTTGGACCGAGTTACAGAGCACAAATGGTGTGAAAAATCGGCCTCCATGTTAACAGATATGGATTTTTTAAAATTTTCGTGGCCTTGCTGTGACATTGACTATTGACCTTTACCCTCCAAAAATTAATCACTCCTAAGTTTGGGCACAGTAAAGATGTATACCAATTTTCGTCCAAATCCGTTCATTCGCTTTTGAAATCTTGCTTTCAAACAAACATACACACAGGGGTGAAAACATAACCTTCGTTACCTTCGTTGTCGAAGGTAATAAAAATTGTACGGGTATACCTATGTTTGGTGTTTAGAGAAAGTTTGGAGAAAGTTAATACAGCTGTTTATTCTGTACGTGCTTATGATTGCTTATTATATTTATGTTTCTCAGCGTTTTTCGATGGAAACTTTTTATAACAGAGGATAGTGTAAGATAAATACATATTTAAAGTTCGACTTCTGGGTTCAACTGTTTGCTTGCCACCATAACACTTGGCTTATATAACTCACAACACTTCGCTTCAACAATCGATTCGCTTGTTGCTCTAAGTAACGGAAGTTAAAAGGAATTTAGCTAATGTTTTTCTTTGCACTTATTGCTAGCACTGAACCCATTTGTATCATTTCACATTTCTATTACAATCATACTTTTTTTCTCAAAGGATCCGAGGGTCCATGGTTCGTGTCCCTTTACTGCAAAAAAATCGTATCTCGTTATTCAATTAAAGTAGCCCAAGAGTTGGCGGTGGGTAGTGTTTACTAGCTGCCTTCTCTCTATTATATCAGTTCAAATATAGAACGGTTAGTCTTTATGTAGCTTTGCTCGAATTTCCGAAAGAAATATATTTTTTGACAGTTTTTTTATTTGTTTCATAGTTCTCATTAAGATTTTCACAATGACGAGTTACTATATAACGTTCACACCAGAATAATGTATAACATTCACACCAGAAGCCATGCAGACAGGAAGAGGTTAAGTTAGGAGTAGGATGACATGTTTATGTAATAACCAGATATCTCATGCTTACTGTTGCGTTAAACGTTTAGAAAGTAGAATTTGAATTAAGAGAAAAATACCACAATAAAAATATATATATATACTCTAACATCTCTCTGTAAACCAAGCAACTCTAAAACTAATAACAAAATATTATTAACAAAAACAGTTGATGCTGGTCTAGAGGGTGCTCGTAATAAGGAAGACCTATGCTAATCTTACACTTTCAGCTAGATCTTTGAATGCATAGGGAAAATATTAATGGGTTTCATTTGATAAGTGCTTACAAGACAGTAAAACGCATAATGAGATTTCCATTTATATCTTAGTATATTTATTATATATAAATCTGTTTCTTCTTGTATTTACGTATTTAGTTTCCTTCTACTGTCTTTAGTTAACAGAGTTAAACAGAGGGTATAACAGCTATTCTTACAGATGATTTTATCAGTTATGTTGCTGGCTAGTTACTTCTGTTGCTTCGGCTGCTCAACTACTTTCGGAATTATGAACGTAATCAGTAGAAATGTATTTGGCTAATAAAACTCAAATATTAGAAACATTGACCCAAATATTTAAACAATAGTCTGAAAAAATGAAAAGGTCAACTTATGAAACAACTGGGATTTATGTGAACTGTTTGATACTTAAAATACTTTTAAGTGTCGTAAGAAGCAGTTCGTCACTATTAACAGACAACCAAATAGGGATGATACGTTGCATGTCAGGAATATTTGATTTACAATACCATCATGATGTTTAACTTGCTTACATTCAAAAGTTAATCATAACGATGAAACTTACTCTCCTAGCTGGATCGATGGTAAAACATATTTACTGAACTTGTCAGGAATATTTGATTTACAATACCATCATGATGTTTAACTTGCTTACATTCAAAAGTTAATCATAACGATGAAACTTACTCTCCTAGCTGGATCGATGGTAAAACATATTTACTGAACTCCAGAGATCATTACTGATTCAAAAGATGGAAAGGAAAATATAGAGAAAAATCCAAATTACCTCCCTTACCCCCAACTAAGGCCATGGTGAATCTTTCTTGCTAGTTTCAAGTGGGTGTACTCTCTAAAAGGGGCAGCAGGAGAGATAAAAAGGACTGCTAAAACACAATCACGAAATAATTTAAACTTACGTGAGCTATTGTGTGACGAATTGCTAAAATAATACTAAGTAAACGATTATTCAGTTCATAGAATATCATTTTCCAAATCTCGTATTATTTCTAACAGTACAGATGAATAAAAAATACCACACTTTGGTAACAGGAGTGGAATATTAATCACCTGTTTACTTTTAACAATCCTCTATATGTCTCCATATCACTTCCATCAACTGATACACGCTAAATATCACATCATAGCAACAGGTTGGTATATTGAATACCTACGGGTTTCATTTAAGAAAAATGTAAAGTAGCATTTCAACTCGAAAAGGGGGAGTGAAGTATGATGTATTTTGAATAATCATAAATTTTATTGTAATGTTATTTCATTCATACATTATCCCTAAATGTAGTGCTCTGCTAGCTAAGCCTAATAGCTGCCGTCTTATATGACTGAAATTAAACACCTGTTTTCTTTAAACAACGCTACATCTTCAGTCTTTGTGGCACATCCTACGATGCACGCCCGCAAGACGTCTTAGTAGGCTGAACAATGACGCACGCTAGACTGTATAATAAGTCTATTGGTCCTGCGGTTCCGTCTTCTCTAACAGTTTATTTGAAAATCGATAGAGTTGCAGCAGTCCGCTGAGAAGCGTAATCATGTTATTCTGCAGTTTAATTTATGAATTTTTTATCTATTGTAAGGTGTACATATTACTAATTTATATATGCAGGTTGTCACATAAAAACTTGGCGAATAAAGAAGGAAAAAACACTACGTCTTCAACGTTACAATTCTTTTCGAACTATGTTTTGTGACATTTTGTTTTTATGTATATTTCATAAGATGAATGTTTTTTATTTAATCTATTCATAGTTTATTTCATTTGTCCCCCAATCATTCAGCGGTAAGATCGAAGGCTTATAACGCTAAAACTCGGAGTTCGATTCTCCCACGATCGATACAGTGCACATAGCTCATTGTACAGCTTTGCGCCTAATCAACAAACAAACTTTAAACAAAAATAATAAAACTGTAACATCTGTTAAACAGTTTTGTATTTACATTATTTAATGTTTCTAAAGTGGTTCTGATTATAATATTTCTCCCTACAGTGCATATGCTGACCAGGACGATCCAAGGAACTTATATAAGCGAAGGTGGAGGGTTTGACTACGATCAGTCTTGGATTTGCGCAATGTAAATATATTGAATTGTTGAATAAAAGGTTACAAATTCAGTTATATGTTTAATGTCAAAAAATTAATTTGGATAATGTAATATTATAAAAGTTTTAAAAATAGTTAGACTTATTTATTAGAACACAGCATCCTGTGTTAAAATATAATTATTATCAAACGAGAGTTAGGTTGTGTTTAAGTGATTGATACTAATACTTGAAATGGTTTCCTTTAAATAACTTATAACAAATTATTTTTTTCATTCTAAATAATAATGCAATGATAATAACGAGTATGAGGATTTTATTTAAAATACACTCCACAGAAAGCACAACCCTTACGTAAACATTATATTTTACTAACTTCTTGCATTACTATGTAAATTATATGATCTGACTTCACATAAATCAGTATCATTATTATTACCTGGATCCTGTAGCATACTAACTTAATGTAGTACAAAATGTCTGTTATAATCTAGATATTGCAGGATACTGACTAAATCATTGTTGTAATAAGATACTGATTTCATGTACTGTACTACTATTGCTGGGGGACATATCCTTCTGGGAGTAACTGTTGTAACTTAAACATTATGTGATAATAACAGGTATGTTTATTGTAACCTATAGATATTATGTGATAATTACCTGTATGCCTTTTATGACCTGGATATTTAAGAATGATGGTATAGATAATATGAAGTGAACATTATAAGATACTGACTTACATAGCCGATGTAAACCGAATAGTAGATGATAATGGCTTGCAAAACTGTTGTAGACTGGACAAATGTGATAATGGCTTGCAAAACTGTTGTAGACTGGACAAATGTGATAATGGCTTGCAAAACTGTTGTAAACTGGACAAATGTGATAATGATCTGAAAAATTGTTGTAAACCGGACAAGTGTGATAATGACCTGGAAAACTGCTGTGAACTGGACAAATGCGATAGTGATCTGAAAATTGTTGTCAACTGGACAAATATGATAATGACCTGGAAAACTGTTGTAAACTGGACAAATGTGATAATGACCTGGAAACCTGTTGTAAACTGGACAAATGTGATAATGACCTGGAAAACTGTTGTAAACTGGACAAATGTGATAATGATCTGACAAATTGTTGTAAACCGGACAATGCGTGATACCGACCTGCAAAACTGTTGCAACCTGGAATTTATATGATTATGGAATACACACTTATCTTAACATTATAGGTTGAGATGGCTGTCAAAACTATCAGCAATTACCTGGTAAATTATATTCAAATAAACTCGATGAAACCCTAGCATTTTCGCCAGGTGGACCTCTTTTCTTTAGGGGTGAATTACACTTTGATCCTAATATTTTATGTATGGTTTTGAGTTTCGCGCAAAACAAAGCCGTCCCTAATTTAGCAGTGAAAGACTAAAGGGAAAGCAGCTAGTCATCACCACCCACCGCCAACTCTTGGGCTACTCTTTTACCAACGAATAGTGGGATTGACCGTGACATTATAATTCCCTCCACGACTGAAAGAGCGAGCATGTTTGGTGGGATGGGGTTTCGAACCCGCAACCCTCACATTGCGAGTCAAGCGCCCTAACCACCTGGCAATGCTGGGCAATATTTCTTTTTGTACTTCAGTGAATATGTTTCAGTTTTAATACTTCTTTCAAATAATGTTCTAACATAATAACATCTGAAATAAATACGATGACATGTGGTAGCCTTTCTTACTGGTATCAGCAAGCGGGTTACATCTTTGGCTCAGTTGGTAAGGTATTTTTTTCGGTGTATGATGGGTCAAGTGCTTATAACGGTTGTAATTCTGAAAATATGTGCGAAACTGATAAAATGTAGTAGAGCTAAATTATTTTGTTAAATAAGTAAAATGTTTGTTGTCTTTTTCCCCCCACGCTGAACTAGTATATTTAAGTGCTTATAAAAGTGCTTATAATTATGTTCCTCCGTTTACTATTCTTAAAAATTATTATATACGCATATCTATTCTAGAAAAATAAACTAATTTCATTCTGCCAATGTCATAATAAGGATTACGTAAATTGAAACATACATTCTTTTTTCATACCTACAGTTGCGTAAAGGTTCTATCTAAGCCAAACAAAATATTATTAATGCTAATTTCTGGTCCTGTCTAACCAGGTGTCATTTTATGTTCAGTTTATAAAAAGTTGCATGATCGAACATTACCAAGTGCCGTCTTGATTTAACTATCGCGATCGTTCGAATATTCTTTGATATCAATCATACAATATTGTAATATATTTTAGTAATGGAACAAGTTTTTAAATCGATTTCGAATATGCAAATCAGTAAATATCGTGACAGTCACATTCGATATAAAATCGCAGTGCAACAGATTTTACCCGAACTACATTTTGATATCGTAAGGTAGTTCGATGCAACTAAAAATTGATAGCTTTTGGAAAGGGTGTTTATCAGCCCTTCTTACGCAATATGTTTATACGCTCAGATCATAAAAATGTGTTCAAGTCGAGGATTTAGAATTTCCATGGTGAGAATATTTGTTGTATATATTGGCATTGTAGAACAACGGAATATGGATCAACTTGGGACGCCAGGACCGTTAAGAAAGAGACCTCAATCAAATCGTATCCGAGATGTGGCAAGCAAAGTGCAAAGTATTGTAACAGGTGAGAATCCATGAGCACTAAGATCAGTGGAGAAAATCGTCCACGTGCTTTAGGCAACAGAGAGCAACATAACCAAAAAGGATTTCCATCTGAAAACATAGATCTAGCCACACTTTGCTTACAAACAGTTGGAGAATGAAACGGTTAGTAACACTATTGCATACGAAGACGTAGAGGTCAAGTCGTATGACGCAGAGCTTATGGATTTCTGTGCGATCGGAATGTTGAAACGTACTCTGGGAAACCGTCGTTTTCGTAGATTGGATAGTGTATGGAAATACTGTAGGGAGGAGGTATGTTTTTTTAAAGTGAAGCACAAAGCACACAATGGGCTATCTGTGCTTTGCACAACACAGGTATCGAAACCCGATCTCTAGCATTGTAAGTTCGCAGACATACCACTGTGCCACTGGGGGGGGGGGAGGGAGGAGGAGGGGTGTACTTTGGACGTTATAGACTTATGATGGAGCATTTTGCAATGGATGTTGCTGCAGGGCTATTGTCAGGATGCACGGTTGTCAGATGTAGCATAAGCATACGTGGCGATTTGGAATGCAACTGCTTGCCGATGTTCCAAAATTGTTTTAATATAACCTATGCAACCCGCTATATCTTTTCTTTGAGAAGCGAATATCCAGCTAGCTCCTGAAAATTCCCTGGTGTTTCAGTTTTAAGCTTAATGGCTTGTAACGCTAAAATTCTGTTTCAAGCCCTGCGGAGGGAACAGCGCAGACAGCACATCGTGATGTTTTGTCTGTAAAGTAAAACAAAAGAAAAACTTCTGAAAAAGGAAGGTCTCCATTTTGAAAGGGCTCAGATTATCTGATTTGTTGTAGATCCTTCTACAAAAAAAAAATATAATGTGAATAGCTCCTATATAAGAGAGAAATATTACTTAATTTTTATATTATAAGTTTTACATTAGTTAGATAGTTAGATATTTCAGTTTTCAATAATAGATTATTTTCCAACATTTGGCATACTTGTCGCCACCCGTAGCATTCTTTGAATCTGGCAATACAGGCGAGTCCTACTAATTACAAGTCTCATAAATTAACCACAAAGTAGCACAGATTAAGCACAAAGTAATCACAAGGTACCACAAAGTAATCATAATTCACCACAAATTACCTCAAACTAAACAATAAACTAACTAAATAAGACACTATATATATATATAATTTGAACAAATACAATTTTATTGTCTTGCGTTGAATCACTTTACATAAGAAAACGTTTTAAAATTAGAATAAGAAAAGGTAACTTTATTACTTGTTTATACAACACAGGTAATGGAAATAAATAAAATAATATACTTATCGCTTAACATAAAATATTATAAAACACTTAACACAAGATACTGTAATAAAATGATAAATTAATCTTCGTTGTAATGATCGATTTTAAATATTTTTGTAAATGAAACTACAATGTAGTTATAATTGAGAATATCTGACCTTATTGTAGTGTTTTTGTAGTACTGTGTTGTTGCTTTTTAGCCATTGTGTGGTACTTTGAGGTAATTGGTAGGACTGATATAGTCGGCAAATGAAGATTCTGCTTAAAATAGAAACTTATTATACCATTGAAGGTTCAAAACTACAGGTCTAGGTTACTTATTTAATGTACGTCTGTTATCAAAGTATTTAAAAAAAACACACACCATAGTTTATGAATTAAGAGTTGGGGATCAAGAGTTTATAGTTGGTTTGAGTCAACATTTTTTTCACCAAACTCAACCAAGTTTATATGAGTAAAAGATAAAAGTTATAAACTTACTGAACGTCTGAACTAAATCATTTTTTTTTGCTTAACACACCATACATCAAGGTTATAAACTAAAGCTTTTTTTACTTAACGCACCATAAATAAAGGTTATAAGGTCTCAACTAAAGCTTTATTAACTTAACGCACTTTAGATCAACGTTATGAGCTTAGCCAAGGCCTGAACGAAGGATTTGTGGGTAGAGTGAATATAATTGAAAAGTTAAGGTTGTGAGTTAAATGAACATCAGAATCGATAGCATTTGTTTGATGCTATAGAGTAATTATTTCGTTCAAAGAAGCATAAACTGTTTGGTGAAGGAAAGGCGACTGAAAAACTTCTTTATTTTTTCAGATGTTATTATGCTTTTCAGTAAAAAGGTCAACAAATGCTAATGTCAAGCGAATAGTTTTGTCTGTTCCTTTGTTTACAGCCCTGCATTCTTTGAAACCAAAACTCTGACAAATATGTCTATATATTATATCTATTTTCAACTGTAGAGCCATTTATTCAATGACGGCTTGAGCTATAATCTCGAATTGCAAGACAATCTGTCAAGCCATTTTGGAGATATTCCACTATTATTTAGAACAGCAACTTTTGGAACTTTCTGTGTTTATATCTGAAATTTTGTTGTTTTCAGCGATATCAAATTACAAACAAATGCAGCTGCAGTGTGTCGACATCTGAAAAAAAGTATTATTTAAAATTTCTGTAAGAGAAAGAGAAATATGTGATCAACGTTCCGACCAAACAACCAAGATCTGAGAAAGCTTGTTACATGCGGTTCTGGACATTACCATCAGTCACTTTCATACAGAGGCATGAATCTTGTCACTAGCTACTCATTCAACAAGAAATAAACAAGATAGCTGCGCCGGCCAATATATCCGTCATTTTTCTTACGTAAATAAGAGAAATCTCGAAGAAAAGGGATCTTCTACCTCGAAGTTCAATCTTCTCTTCTCCATCCTCGTTTCCTAGCTCTTTCAGATGGCAAGCTTTTATGTCTAACATTTGTTCTGAAGTGTGCTCGTCTTCGCACTTTATCACAAGCGATCACTTACTAGTCCAAGACGTAACTAGGCCGCCTGAGACGAACAATAACACCAGTGTTGTCGTTTCGATCTTGGCTTGTAGACTGGGGTAAACTTAAAACTAGTATCGCCGTTTCGATCTTGGTTTCTAAACTGCTAAAGTACTAAAATACAAGTGCCATCGTTTCGATTTTGGTTTTTAGACTGAGATAAGGTACAATATTACTACCACCGTTTCGATCTTGGCTAGAAGACTGAGATAAACTATAATATCAGGTCTGTCATTTCAGTCTTGGTTAGAAGACAAATAAACTACAATATTAGTGTCGCCGTTTCGATCTTGGCTTGTTGACTGGGGTAAACTACAATATCAGTGCAGCCGTTTCGATCTTGGCTTGTTGAATGAAGTAAACTACAATACCACTGCTGGCGTTCCGATCTTGGCTTGTTGACAAAAGTAAACTACAATATCAGTGTCGCCATTTCGATCTTGGTTTTAATAAATTGAGATAAACAACAATACCAGTTTTGCCATTTTGTTTTGTCTGGTAAAGAATATTTAGTCCATGAGTGGTAAAAGATTGTTCGGTAGTTTCCACAAGATGTTACTCTAATTGAAGTAACACCATAAGAAGGTTTAGCAAAGTGATTGTTTCATTGTTCAGTTGTTATTCTGATAGAAAACAAACACAAGAATATTTTTCCCTGAAGCTGATGGTTTCTATAGCTTGAATAGGATATCTTGATATTTTGGATGAGTCTTCTTGTAACTTAGAACAATTGAGTGAATAATTACTCAATCTTCAGAACAGAAAACGGATCAGAACTTACCAATTTAAGCTATTGCGTTATCATCCTCACATGTCTGGACGGTTATTTTAGCGGCTTCTAGGACACCGCTGACCCTTTATACTGCAATATACTGGTCCTTTACTCTCTAATAAAGAAAAACTATTAATGTTATTTCGGTGGTTTTCATTTCAATACTTTTTAGCTAGATTACTATATTAATGCTCTAAATGTACGGGATATTTTCTGAAGCACTATGTATTTAGGACTGTAAACGTATCACTCATGATTTACTCTACTTAAAATCAAAGAGATTTGCTCATTCTTTTCCTAACCAACCGTTCCAAGTTTGTCTGTACCCAACAGGTATAGAAAAGCAACAATTACTGTAGTTTACATAATTATGATGTTCTCAAACTCTGTTGTCATAGGAAAGGAAATCTCAGGTGATGAGAGACATCAAATATTCCGGTAGTTTCTCCTCGACGATATAATAATAATACTAGTTAGTTTCTCCTCGACGATATAATAATAATATTAGTTAGTTTCTCCTCGACGATATAATAATAATACTAGTTAGTTTCTCCTCGACGATATAATAATAATACTAGTTAGTTTCTCCTCGACGATATAACGATAATACTAGTTAGTTTCTCCTCGACGATATAATAATAATACTAGTTAGTTTCTCCTCGACGATATAATAATAATACTAGTTAGTTTCTCCTCGACGATATGATAATAATACTAGTTAGTTTCTCCTCGAAGATATAATAATAATACTAGTTAGTTTCTCCTCGACGATATAATAATAATAATACTAGTTAGTTTCTCCTCGAAAATATAATAATACTAGTTAGTTTCTCCTCGACGATATGATAATAATACTAGTTAGTTTCTCCTCGAAGATATAATAATAATACTAGTTAGTTTCTCCTCGACGATATAATAATAATAATACTAGTTAGTTTCTCCTCGACGATATAATAATACTAGTTAGTTTCTCCTCGACAATATAATATTACTAGTTAGTTTCTCCTCGACGATGTAATAATAATACTAGTTAGTTTCTCCTTGACAATATTATCCGGGCAATATTATTAGGGCACTCGACTCGCAATCTGAGGTTCGCGGGTTCGGATCCCCATCCCACCAAACATGCTCGCCCTTTCAGCCGTGGGGGCATTATAACGTGACGGTAAATCCCACTATTCGTTGGTAAAAGAGTAGCTCAAGAGTTGGCGGTGGGTGGTGATGACTAGCTGCCTTCCCTCTAATCTTACACTGCTAAATTAGGGACGGCTAGCGCAGATAGCCCTCGTGTAGCTTTGCGCGAAATTCAAAACAAACAAACATGATGACATGATAATAATAATAATAATAGTTATACAAATTACTCTCACGGACAGTAAGTTCCAGCAGTTCCACACATCCTTCGATCACCAGTAGTTCTAGGCAAACCTTATCTTAAGATCTGTAAATTAACATTCTCACTTATGAAATGAAACATTTCATTTTGAATAATATTAATCATGAAGGAAGCAATGAAGCTACAATACCTCATCAGAAAACAGTTAAACCAGTACAGAGGTGATGAACTGTCCCTTACACTTAAACCAGTACAGAGGTGATGAACTGTGTACTAACTTGCATGGGTGTTAGTTATCTTTCTCAATCTCCTCCTCTGTGTTTAGTTATAATGTTGAAATCATCATCAAGTACTCATGCGTTGAGAAGTGGGTATAATACATGTGTGAAATAACTTAAACGAATAAGTGTTTCTTCTTTTTATATTCTCTTATAACACAGGCCTGCGAATTTAAACTTCGTAAAAGTTGTTTTGATTTTAACAACAGATTCTCCATAATTCAGCTAAGAATATTTCAAAAATAATATTCATTTTTTTACAAGTCGGAAGAAAAAAACTCTTACAATGATCGAAATATTATTTCGATTACCGATAAGACTCTCACGTCGCGATTGGTCTAGAGAAAGCTATAGCCAGTGGTTGTCAGTATTATAGGCATAACAAAAGGTTACCCGATTTCAATGAAAATGATTCGCTTATGTTAAAGTACATATGACATTCTGTGAAAAATCTGTACGCGATGGAGAAAAATGGATATCAGTTTCGGATTCAGCGTACAGGAATTACTGTGTGTAGGACAATAAAACCATCACAGGCCTGTGTAATCAAAACCTTTTTGCCCAAATTGCCTATAAATAATTTGACATTAAAGTAAAAAGATAGGGTATAGGAAGTTATAACCTCAGTGAAAGAGGTTGAAGTAATGTAAATTTCCATTAAATCAGTTAATCTCTAGGTTACACTGTACTGATTTGTTAAATGAATTGCTTAATTCATCGTTTCTTGTCAATCCATTTGTGGAGTTATTCTGCCCTTGTCAATTCATTTTCAGGGGTAATTGTGCCTTGTAGGTAATTTTTTCTTTTGTTAATATCTGTAAAAATTGTCTGTTCATTAACTGGATTTCATTCATGCCTAATGCAAAAACAAATAAAATAACTTGTCCTTTCTTGGTTGAGATTTTACAATACCTTAGTTTACAACACTATTAAAATTCTGCGTTCTCCCTCTAAAACACTAATACTGTGATTAATAGACTTCTTATTACTGAATTACTAGCACTACAGTGTAAGGAGATTATCTGTTTGAAGAGAGACGTGAAGTAAAATTAGTCGTTGTTTTTTAGCTGTAGAGAGAGAGAGAAACAAAACCTAAAATAATGATTTTTTTTTATTCGCGTAAAGCAAGTGATATTAATATATAGAAATACACTCTACAAATCCAAATTGATTTTATGTTTCTAACAATAACTAGAGAATAGAAATAAATATAACCCATATTTCTATGTAATAAGACAAACAAGTTAAACAACTTTATTTTCTCTTTTAGTGCATAATTCAGTCTTAAATGTTGCCCTATGTAAACATTATATTGTACAGTTGAGTTGCAATGCATATTGGATCTATTTAGGTTCTTGTTTACTGGAGAGTTAGGCTTTGATAGGAAATACTTTGGGTTATTTTTACTTTTTACTTTTGAGCTTCACGTAAGTTTAGACAGATTATATTACAAATTTACAGAAATTTTACCCTAGTGAACTTACATCCTTGTCTGTAGGTGTAGCCTTCCATCGCTACAAAGAAGGCATGTGGCTATCGCCAGATTGAAGACTCCCGCCAACATGGGTCGTACATCTCACGAGGTCCGATTCTTCATTTTGGTTCTGACACCCAGCAAAGAGGTAAGGCCAAAGAATTTGTCCTTTCGATAACGAAGAGTCCAGGAGGAATGATTAAATATTAGAAGCAAGCAAATATTTTATCCTACCAAATATTTCCGTTCTAGTTCTGTGGTTATTATTCTTAACACCCCAGGCAGTTAGTATTAGGAGTAAGTATAACGTTATTCTTTGTAGCATGTAAAACAACCTGTTTTAGGATATATATAACTTGTTTATAGGTAGAAAATGTTGCTCAACTACAAAAGTTTAAAAATCATGATATTAATACACAACATTACTGTCTCCAAAGCGTAAGGTTCGCACTCTCTTTGCTGTTTTATGGTGAAATAAATCAGGTGTTTCATTCCAGTTTGTCTTAGGAATTATTAACGTGTTATTTCCAAGTGGGATGAACTAAACCCATAGTTTGGCCAGCGTAGGTTTCGGTTTCGGTTAGTTTTAAATCTATAAAGTAAGCTAACAATACAAAATAATATACATAAATGTAAAGATTCATAAACAAATATCAATAACTATATTAAAGATAATTGTAAGCGCTTTAACCAATAACATTAATGAAATTACCTATAATTATCAAGAAAAATTGGGGCAGGTCATTGCTTAAAAGATTTACAAAAACCAGTTGCTTGCTCGTAACATACCCATTGCTTAAACATAAACGAAACCCGAATACACCTATATGTGTTCATGTATTTCCAGTGCTGCACATCTAGGAACTAAAATAGATGAAATTCAAAAAAAAAAAAAAACACAAATATCAATTAAAGGAACAAGAGCCTCCTTTGTGAAGAATTATACTGATCAATGATTCCATAGTTATGTTAACTACTCAGAGATAAATACTAGAGTAACTGAAATACTTTGAAAGTTCGTGTTTCACAAGAAGTTTACACACATATATATTTTGTTAAACAAGACCGATGTCTGTAGGTTTACTTTCTTCTTAGAATTCTTCT